ATCAAATGTGTCGGAATTAATTGTGATTGTCATTTGAATTAATATTAAATATTAATTAAATAGTTTAATTAACCATTTAATATTACTCTAATTTGAATTTAATAATTCAAATTGATTGTTGAATCAAAATGAAGAAAGTCAAAATGTTGACTTCATTTAATAGAAAAATACATGTTAGTGGAATTTTAAGGTGTTAAAATTTGATTTAACCAAACTTGCATGCTTGCCAAATAAACCCCACAAATTTGAGTGGAATTTTGAGTGTCAAAATTTGGTTAACTCAAGCATGCATGCTTGCCACATAATAATTTGGTTAACTCAAACATGCATGCCACATAATAATTTGGTTAACTCAAGCATGCATGCTTGCCACATAATCTCAAACATTTGAGTAGAATTTTGTGTGTCAAAATTTGATGATCTCAAATTTGCATGAACATGTAAACATGACTCTATAAATAGAGTGATCATAATATATGAAAGTACTTGTTGGTGAAAAACCTTGAGAAAAACCTCTCACAAACACTCTCTTCATATATACAAAATCCCTCCCAAGTTTAGTCACTCACCAGATTCCACAATCTCGTTCTAAGGCCAGAGGATAGTGGAGAAGACACTAGTGGTGGTTTGAAATCGGTTCGTGAGGAAAAAGGAATTTGAACTACAAAAGGTTAGTATTCAAACTCATTAAGTTTTAATAGAACATGCTAGTTATTTACTATAATTGATGTTCTAAAAGTGCCTAAGATCCAAATTGCTTCCGCATGTGTTATATTAACATCTTCAGGAACGGCCAAAACATCTTGGGCAATTTTCGATAAAACTCTATACTTAAACTCATTTGCTTTCCACCATGCCAAAACATCAAAATTATCATCAAGTTCTTCATTAGGGTCAGATAAATATCGATCCACATCATTCTTTAACTTGAGGGAATGTTGCTCTTCTCTTCTTCGTTTGTATCTTGATAATACTAATATTGAACTACTCAAATTCTCTTCATCAATTGTGTCCATCTCCATACTCATGGACTTAGAAGTGAGTCTTGATTCAGATGGATGATGATCTTGAGCATTATCATAAAACTTGTAGTAATCATACAAACGAATTAAATAATTCTTTATGTCATTCACCATCACTTTAGCCATAGCATCTTCATAAATATTCGAAAATCAAAATGATATGTAATCCAATTTGTAACGAGGATCGAGTACCACTGCTATGAATATCAACTTATTAATTCTTTCCACTGAGCCCCAATATTTGTCATACTTAACTTTCATATTTGAACTCATGTTACTTAAAACATAGTTCACATTCGTATTCCACTCAATTAAAAGTTCTCAAATACCCCAAAGTTCATGAAAATAAGAATTAGAAGTCACATATAAAAAACCACTTATCTTCGTAGTGACATCATAGAAAACCTTCAAAAACTATACAAACACTACAACATTTTTCCAATCATCAATGGTTGGTGACCCTATTCTTTTGTTTCCATGATCCCCCTCTTTGAAATAATCAACCTAATCTGATTCTTCCTCCTCTAATACTTTGAAAGCTTTTTCAAATTTCAAGGCATGATCAAGCATCAAATAAGTGGAATTCCATCGAGTCGCCATATCCAAATAAACAAGTGCTTTACATTTAATTTTTCTTGTTCAACACGATCTTTAAATTTTGTCAATCTCTTGGGGGATGATCTAACATACCTCACGGCATTACGAACACTAGAAATGGAGTCATGCATTTCTTTAAGCCCTTCATTCACAATCAAATTAATTATGTGAGCACAACACCTCAGGTGTAATATTTCTTCATCTAACACAAGTGAATTCCAACTTCTAAGCCTTCTCATAATATATGAAAGAGCTATATCATTGGAACTTGCATTATCAACGGTGATAGAGAAAACCTTATCGATTCTCCATTCCAATAAAACTCTCAATAATCTTGCCAATAGTCTCTCCCTTATGGTTAGCAACTTGACAAAAGTTGAGAATTCTTTTATGCAAATTTCATTATGAATCAATAAAATGTGCGGTGATTACCATGTAATTAATGTTTTGCAACGAAGTTCATGTGTCAGTGGTAAGACAAACCCTCTTGGAATGACTGACTAAAAAATCTTTCTAACTTCTTTTTTTCTTCTAGATAGAGCTGAACTATATCTCTAGCAATCTTTACTCTTGACGGAGGGTCAAACTTAGGACATGCAATACTACAAAACAATTTGAAACCCTCATTCTCTACAAATTTAAATGATAATTCATCCATAATTATCTTCTTGGCACATGCTGCTCTACATCTTGTTTGACTAAATAATGAAATAACAATATTACTACCACCTTTTCCATCTATTGAGCGTTGAAAACTTAGAGTGGTTTGTCCTTTGTCCTCCACCTTATATGTTTACTTCCTACGCTCATTTTTTAAGTGCTTCCATAACATGCTAGGTTCACAAGAATTAGTATCACAAGCATACTTCTTAGAACAATAGTTGCACTTGCACCTCTTATTATTATTCTCTAATCTTGTAAAGTGATCCCACACGGTTGATTTACTAGGTTTCTTCTTCTTAAATTCAGATTGGGTAGCCAATGGTAGTTTCGATGCATTATAATTACTAGAGCTATTTGCACATACCGTTGCACTATTGTTTTCCATCTATAAAAAGTAAAATAGAACTATTATGATTCAAACATTTAACTCAATATGAACAATTATCATAGAATGCATCAAAGTTAAAATATACAATCAGTTTTTGCAAGGGGATATAACAAAAAGAGAAAAAGTTTACCCGTTATAGCGTTCTAGGAGACTAAGGAGAGAAAGACGGCGCACGAGAAAGAAACAAGATAAAGAACGTGAGAGAATACTATTGAGATCAAATTACTTGTGAGAGACTAAGTATCTAAAGAGATTTGTATTTTGTGGAGAGGCTGAGAGCAGAGAGGTAGGGAGAGGAATGGATGAATGGATTGTACAGAGGTGAGGAGAGAAATGGATAAATGGACTGTCGTAGAGAGAGGAATGGATTGAAATGAATTACAGAGGAAGGAAGGAATGGATTGAAATGAATTACAGAAGAATAGATTGAAATGAATGACAGTGGATTGAAATGAATTGCAGAGGCATTGATTGAAATGAATGGTAGAGGAGAGGAGATGATTGGAGAGGAATAGATGGCAGAATAAAATGAATTGAAAAGGAATGGATTGTAGAGAGTGCTATTGCCAAGAACTCAGCGCATAGAAGAGAGGGAAAGAGAAATTCAGCATACAGCAGAGAGGGAAAGACAAATTTCTTTCACTACTGAAGTAATTATTGAGTCGTGTAATGTCGGGTTTGGATTTGAGCTTGGCCTTTGATCAGAGACTAGACAAATGGTATATTGGGTTTTGACTTTGGACCTTTGGACTTTAATTTCTTTTTTTTTTTAATATTTTCGGGTTGGGTCGAGTTGACCCAATCATTTTCTTTTGGTACTCGAACCCAACCCAAATCAGATCCGGTTAAAAAAAATGGACCCAACCCAAACTCGAAATCCACCACAATCCAACCCAACCATTATATTTCGGGTTGGGTTCTCGAGTTTCTGGGTTTGGTGTACACCCCTAGAGAATGGTATGAACCAAGACATTAATCATGCAATATAAACTTGGGAAGATGTGAAGAAAATATTGTCAAAGATATCAAAAGATGTTTCAATTCATGTCACCTCGAAGAAAAATCAAGTTTCATTGTTATAAATTTTGGGTGGATCATAATTTTGAGTTATGAGTTACGTGTTTATTTAGTGTATTTTTTAAGGCTTATTTACATAGTAGTTAATTATAGCCTTAAAATATAGGTAGCTAATTATGGTCATGAAATATAGTTACTGCTATTGGAATGCCTCATGAAAGATATAATTTTTCTTTTTAGAAGGCCATATATGTTATATTTGTAAGATAGATTTTGAAAATGCAGTAAAATGAGTATTTGTGTTTTTTTAGCCAATGACGAAGTTTATTTGCAATTTTATGTACTTTAGGTTACATGTAGAATCATTCAAACTTGAATGATCAGTCTTGCTTGTAGAGTGATTCGAATCTCAAACAAGTGTTCTTGCATTTAGATATTTGATCAACAAGTTAATCTGAATTTAACTTTCACTGGAGTGATTCTTTATCATTAGGGCTAAGTCTAAATTGCATGTTTATAATCATTAAAGCAGACATGATCGATCTTGGTTGTGAAGTGATTCGAATCTCAAGTAAGTGTTATTCCCCTAAGATAGTTGTATACTTAGCCCCAAGGTAATCAAAATCTTACTTTCCTTTCCTTGTAGTGATTCCATATCACTAAATATGAAAACAAAATTATTTGTTCACCCCATAGATGAGAAACGCCATCCAGTAGATTTGCAACGTTAGAATCGGTGAACAACTTCTAGGTCTCAATAAGGTCTGTGACAAGAAAATTGCTCGAAATTTTGAGGCTTTTCTAAAAGCTTAGATAGTTGTAGAAATGGGGTCCAAATTGCCTCGGGGAGAGAAGTCCATAGTAACCTACCAATGATTGGATACAAAAATAGCTTACAAATAGGCTACTTATTGAGTAGTTTATACTCACCCATTTTATATTTCTTTTTCAAGTGTTCATTGACTACTAGTCGAGGTGTGGGAGCGTACCAGAGTTGTGATGTCATAGAGGGATCATCCTAGGGCGCCAATCCTACCGGTATATTTGGATCTTTTTATTTAGTTTGAATTTGTATCCCGAACTCATACCCCATTTAAAAATAAACTTCGAACATCACGGAATTACATTAGATTTTGATTTGTTTTTAACTGGGGTGTTAGTTTGTTTTAAATTACACCAAGAGATTTCGTATTTTATTTTATTTTAGTTCCTACATGTTTAGATGTGTATGCCTTTCCCAATCCTATAGTTGGTGGGTCACTTGTTTAGGATTTGATAGTCAACCTTTTGTAAACCTTTTGAAATTCCAACGCAACCAGTAATGGAAATTTCGTCCTCGTTCACTCTGTCCCTTCATCTTCAACCTTTCCCTCCAAATCCTCTCGCCGTCGCCTTCGCCGCCGCTAATTCCAATTCTGGCCACCGACTGTCCCGAATCAAAACCTCGACACAGACACTGACCGATACACCGCCCTTAAGAAACAAAGTAGTTGCCAAATTTCAGAACAGAAAACGCCCAGTTTTTGCTGAGAGAGATGCTTTTCCTGAATCTTTGCCACTTCACACCAAGAACCCACATGCCATTTACAAGGATATTCAAAGATTTGCGCGCCAAAATAAGCTCAAAGAGGCGCTTACGATTATGGACTATTTGGATCAACGAGGCATCCCAGCTAATGCGACTACATTTTCTTCTCTTATTACTGCTTGTGTTAGAGCCAAATCTTTGGCTAACGCGAAACAGGTTCACGCTCATATTCGGATAAATGGACTTGAAAACAATGAATTTCTGCGTACGAGGCTTGTTCATATGTATACTGCTTGTGGGTCTTTGGAAGATGCACAGAAGCTATTTGATGAAAGTTCTAGCAGAAGTGTTTATCCTTGGAATGCGTTGCTTAGAGGCACTGTAATGGCAGGTCGACAGGATTACCGTAGCATACTCTCGACATATGCAGAAATGCGAAGATTGGGGGTTGAATTGAACGTTTACTCTTTTGCTAATATCATTAAGAGTTTTGCAGGTGCATCGGCGCTTACCCAGGGGCTTAGGGCCCATGCCCTTTTGATTAAAAATGGATTGGTTGGCAGTTCAATTCTTGGGACAACTTTGATTGATATGTACTTCAAATGTGGTAAGATCAAGCTTGCCCGCCAGATGTTCGATGAAATTACTGAGAGAGATATTGTAGTTTGGGGATCAATGATTGCTGGTTTTGCTCACAATAGACTTCAAAGGGAAGCTTTGGAATATACAAGGAGGATGATCGACGATGGAATTAGACCGAATTCGGTCATACTGACATCGATTCTTCCTGTTATTGGAGACGTCGGGGCTAGGAGATTAGGCCAGGAAGTTCATGCTTTTGTTATAAAGACAAAGAACTATTCAAAGCTGATATATATTCAATCTGCTTTGATTGATATGTATTGCAAATGTGGAGACATAGGTTTGGGCAGAGCGGTTTTTTATGGTTCCATGGAGAGGAATGCTATCTGTTGGACTGCTTTGATGTCTGGTTATGCTTTAAATGGCAGGCTAGAGCAAGCTGTAAGATCAGTCATTTGGATGCAGCAGGAAGGGTTTAGACCAGACGTCGTTACGGTTGCTACAATTCTTCCAGTTTGCGCCAAGTTGAGGGCTCTCAAACCTGGAAAGGAGATTCATGCATACGCTTTGAAGAACTACTTCCTACCAAATGTATCCATTGTTTCATCCTTGATGGTAATGTATTCAAAATGTGGAGTACTGGACTATTCTCTAAAGCTTTTCAACGCCATGGAGCAAAGAAATGTGATCTTATGGACAACAATGATTGATTCCTACATAGAAAATCAGTGTCTGTATGAAGCTATTGATATATTCAGAGTTATGCAGCTATCAAAGCATCGACCAGACACTGTAGCCATGTCAAGAATCCTCTTTGTATGCAGTGAACTAAAACTGTTGAAGATGGGGAAGGAGATACATGGGCAAGTTTTGAAGAGGAACTTCGAGTCAGTCCATTTCGTTTCGTCCAAACTCGTGAAGCTATATGGGAAATGTGGAGCTGTAAAAATGGCAAAAATGGTGTTTGAAGCAGTCCCTGTTAAGGGGGCAATGACATGGACTGCCATTATTGAAGCTTATGGAAACAATGGAGAGTTAGAGGAAGCAATCCATTTGTTTGATCAAATGAGATCCTCTGGTTTCACTCCAAACCATTTCACTTTCAAAGTGGTTTTATCTGTTTGTAATGAAGGTGGTTTTGTTGATGATGCGCTGCGCATCTTCAAGCTGATGACTGTTACGTATAAGATTAAGGCATCTGAAGAACATTACTCGTTCGTCATTGCGATTCTAACTCGGTTTGGTCGAATTGAGGAGGCCAAAAGGTATGAACAAATGAGTTCTTCATTATCATGAGTTTGAGATCTGTTCATAATTGAGCTCCCTGATATGTATATATTGTATGTGTTCACCTGTTTGTGTATATTTCCTTAGTTTTGGAGATTTGAAGGATAAATCTTCAAACTTCGGATGAATTTGGTTTCTTTGAGATTGAACTTTTGAGCACTAGGGAGGTAATCGGTTCCTTTATTCACTAGGCTATATTCAATGAGCTAGCTCGGATCGATCTTTGTATTCCATGAGCTATGCTCGGATCGATGTTTGTTTTGGTTCATTTTTTTTTTTAATAATTAATGAGTTTCCTAGTATTGATTGAAAGCAACCAAAATTGCACCAATTGTAACAATTATGGAATATAATCATATTTAGTATTGTTTATGAGTGATCGAGGAAAGCCCATTGTTTGGTGATATCAACCCAAGCCCCTTGCAGTTTAGAGTAGTGGGTTAATACATTTTCGCTTTCGCTCTGCAACTCACAACACACTTCGAGAGACTCCCGAGAGAAATTAGGAGCATACACCGACAGATCTAAGTCGCCGACACGCTTCGATCTAGGGTTTTAGTAGGTTGTAGCGACACAAATGCTTTAAGAGTGCTCTCGGTGTTGTTATGCTAGTGATTGGTTAACGAACGGTGGCCAAAATCAGAGTGAGGCTGTCGGAGTGCAAATCAGAGAAGTGCGGGAGTTAGGGCAGCGGTTTCAGAAGGCGGGTGGAGAAGACGAATTCTCGGGTTGAACATTTGAATTGGGTGATCCACGCCGATGTGAGCTTCAACAGCCCAAGGAACATGAATGTGCACGGCCCACGACCCATAGGGAACACGACCCGCAACTTGCATAGACTCGACCCGAAGTCCACGTCTCGACCCAAGCAACGACCCGCGTTTCCCTAGCCACGTACGTGCCAAACGCGTGCTCCTACCCCAGTCGCGACTCGTCTCAACCTGTCCGTCGGCGTGCTCACTCAACTTGGCTCACTCGGCTCCGACGACTTGAAAATAGCTTATTCGGCTTAGTAATCAATTTTGATATCACTTCCTATGTTTTCGACCCTCTCAAACCTATTTTTGACTTTAGAGAGGGAATTTGAGGTTAATAAGACTTGTATTTATTTAAATTAAATATTTCTTTTTAGCTAAAATTGGGAGTTATTACTATGTTTAGCTCAACTAAACTAAATTTAATAATATGTCCTAAGGATGTGGTATGGGTATTCATAGGTTAAATTGAATGCTAAGGATGATCTCATATCAACTATAAAATAGTTAGGGATTTCTGCTAAGGCCAAACAAGTGACTTCACTGTTCGTGTTGGAATAATTAGATAATGTATGATGATGCATGCCTCGTGACCCCTACCTGCATCATAATGTTATGCTACGTTTATGTATGTGGTGTGATGACGTATGATTGCCATGTTATGTATGTATGTGATGTTCTATTGTGTCATGGTAGGAATGAAAGGAAATACTATGTATTTAATGCTATGCCTTACCATATGAAGTCATGTTATGATGATGCAAGATGAAAGCCATGATGAATATTATACATACCTGACTCATATGTTTGTTATGACATGGATGAAAGGAAACATGAAATGTCTTATTATATGCTATGATTTTAAGTCATGGGAACCTCATGCGTATATGTATGTCACGTGCATTGGGATACTGCGTGTGTGGGTCATTTTTGAGGAAGTACCACACATCCAACCCTTTTCAGTCTGGAAAGAGCTCAAGGTCATACTATGTTGTTTAAAAAGATAGATCTCATCATGAATGTGTGTGTTTGCACTATCTGACCTCAATAATGGGATTACTTACTGAGTATTTCTTAAAATACTCAATACTCAAGTCACGTGCACCATTATTTTTCAGATAAAGGTAAAGTGTTCCAGTAAGGATGACGGTAAATGCTGAAATGGTCATGGAAGCTAAAATAGGAAAGTAGTATGCATTGTTTTCAAATAATAGTTTAATAGTTAGCTTTTCATTTTTGTATTGAAAATCATGTGAAGGCTTAGTTTTTTTCGATGTTATTTTTATTTCTTGTTTTAAACTAAACGTATAAGATCATGAGTTGATTTGAAATATTTCATTAAAAAAAAAAAAATTCATGACTATAGATCCGTTAATTAATGTTTTAATAAATTCAAAATAAAATGACATTAAAATGTTTTAAAGTAAAAAAAAAAAAAAACAAAAAGGAATAGAAAATCATTATAAGATTTGACGTGGAATGTCTCGGTGGCAGCAATTTTATGAAAATCAAATAAGGGGAAAAAACAAAAAACAGAACAAAATTCATTGCGTTCCTCCTCCATCACTTTTTGTCCTAATCTTTGTCGGAACACAACAAGTCAAAGCGTAGAACCTCTGCAATTTGACCACCGCCATTAACACTTGGTTGGCCCCCCAAAATCTTGAGGATTTCGAGCATGACACATGTCTGTTTCTCATTGGATACTGTTTTGCCATGCCTCCTCTCTCAAAAAGTCAAACACATAGGATATTGGTGTAATAAAGTAAACAACTTCTTGTTTTCCCAAGCCTGTTTGGTTTGCTTGGCAGCTGTTTTCCTCCCTTGGTGACCTCATTCATTCATCACCTCCATCTCCATTAGCGACCTAATTATGTCCGACTCATATTCCAAATCGGTATAAAAACTACGTATATTTATTTAAGGTCGGGGTGTTAAAACATCTGATCAACCCAACCTTACTCGTACAGTTTGGTTTAGGTTGAGTTCAAATAAATGAGAACTTTGTTAGTTAAGTGGGTTAGGTTGGTACATAAGCTACTTAAATCTAGAATATGTTGTCCCAAAATCTATTTTTTTAATATATTTTTTCCTATACAATCATATATACATATATTTATTTATTTTTTATTATTTATTTTCCCACCATTTTCAAAAATAAATTTTAACTATTAATTTTTTAGTTATTAAATATTTTAAAATAACATATTTTTTAGGAATGAAAATTTTATTTTTATATAAAACAAAAATTCGAATGAACAACTTGAATCACTCGAATTAATTCAATCCATAAAATATAAAATATATATTATAGTTAGGTTGAATTGGGTTTGTTATTTAATAAGATAATAATTTAATTTGATCTCAAAATTTCTCAAATGTTTATAATCAAAAGAATTAAGGAGAAAAAAAATAAATAAATAAAGGAAGCGCATTTAGAAGTGGGTAAGTGGAAAATAGAAAATTAATGAGGCATAATTTTCAAATTGAATATGATTATAAATTTTTATGAGCCTTTCTTTAAGGTCTCAATTATTGTAATGGGTATAGTGAAGGAGTTAATGATGCTCGGAGAGCTGTAAAGCACGTAATCTAAGACCATACAAAAAATTAAATAATACATTATTATTATACATTATGCTCCTATCCATTCACGAGAGCTAACCCCAACCGGGAAACACAAGCTGTGATCTAATCCACCTAGACATCCTAGAACTTAATATATCTCCACGACATCTAAGGTGAACAACGAGAATGAAACTATTTGGGGAGTAATTGTGTAGGATATAACCGGTTCTGATAGGGAACGAGAGACTACATAAAGGGCGATCCGAAAACCCACTACTATTTGAACCCATGTGGTGTTTATGATAAGTTTTAAGATTTATTGAATTTTCAAATTGAATTGCATTTGATCGACAATATTTTATTAGAACCTCCCGTGAAAGAGTCTAAGTCACACATTACTATTTTATCTATCGTTTTCTAAGTGCAATATATATAAATCCAACGAGTATTAACTATCCAATTCTAAAATAGTGCCTTGTCTCTTTTTATACATGTTTCAACAAAAAAAAAAAAAAATAGTTAACTTAAAATTTGTTCCGAATTCATAATAATCAACTTAACCATTTATGTAACAGTCCGTTAAAAAAAAAATCCCGTCGTTGAAAAAAGCACAAAAATTTCACGAGGTGTCGAAATTTTCGCACCCATAGCTTACCACGCTCCCCTTACGCCCACAACCTGCCAACCAACATCAGCCGCCTCACAGAAACTCACTTGCAAGAGATAAAAGAGGATAGCAATATAAATCCAAATTTATCCAGATAGGAGACCACTCCATGATGGTTTTAATGATAGGTCCATAGATCATGAGTTGCATGTGTTTGCATTTTCCGACCCTAATAGCGGGGTTACTTACTGAGTATTTCTTAAAATACTCTTCTATTTCAAGTAAAGGCAAGACACCCATGTACAATTGACGATGACGATGATATTGTTGAACACAACTCTTTGTGGGAAACACTCACACATTTTATTAGGACCAATCAAGAATAGATTTAGAAATGTAGAAACAATTACAGCTTTGTATTGTTTGGGATTGCTTGGGATGATGAACTAAGTAGAGGGAGAGTATTTATACTAGATAGTAGCCCATCTATTCTTAAAATTTCTCAACGTTTTTCTAAAATACCTAAATCATTTTCCTAAATTTATTTCTAGAATCTCTAAATCATTTTCCTAAATTTATTCTAGATAAATCATTTTCTTAACATAAATATAATTACTCAAACACTTCCCCAGCTAGTCCTCATTCGTTGCACCATGTGGAGCTGACAATGAAAACTCTCATGTTTGCCAGTGTTCAGCACTTTTGTAAATAAGTCTGCCACTTGGTCATCTGTCTTGATTTGCTGCATCTCAATTTCTTCCTTCAAGACTTTTTCTCTAATGAAATGGTAGTGTACCTCCACATACTTTGTTATAGCATGAAACACAGAATTTTCTGCAAGGTGAATTGCAAATTGGTTGTCGCAATGAAGTGGCATTGGATAGTCAATTTTCTGGTGCCAATCTTCCATCAAGAGTTTCAACAATGTACTTTTCTGAGCTGCTCCAGTCGCTGCTTTGTACTCTCTATATCTAATAGACAATGATACTGTTGGGTGTCTTTTCCTACACCAAAAGATTGTCCTCGAACTGAGTTTGAACACATACCTGATATTTGACCTTCGAGTATCATGATATCATTTGACATATCTCAAGGTCCGTCGAGCAGCATCCAAAGGAAGCTTCTTCAGACTTCGCATGTACTAGCTAATGACTCCAACTTCATTCTCAAATCAATTTGGTTGGTTCATGTAGATCTCTTGGTCCAACTCTCCATGCAAGAAAACATTATTCATATTCATCTACCATAATTTCCAATCTTTATTTATCGCAAGTACTAGAGGAACTTGTACGTTAATGATCTTTGCCACTGGACTAAACGTTTCATCATAGTCTAGTCTATATTATTGAGAGACCCTTGGATCTACAGTCTGAGTTTTGTATCTCACGATTGATCCATCTGAGGTACACTTTATTTTGTAAATCCACTTGCAAAAGATAGATTTAACATCTCTTGATCTTGGCACTAGTTCCCAAGTTTGATTTTGCTCCTGGGCTATAATTTCTTTCTCAATTGCTTTCTGCCAAACCGAGTTTTGTAATACATCCTCATATATCTTTGGCTTATTAACTCCCACTTCTACAATAGTTGCGTTGGCATACTCTAGACTTGGCTTTTAGATTATTTCTAACTGTCTTAGTTGTTGAGGTGCCCTTTGTTTTTCATTAGGTTCGCTTGGTTGAGTCACTTCTTTCTCACCAACACTAGTGTCACTTGAATCTTCAGGCACATTAGCACTTAAGCAAATGTGTACAGTTTTCTCCCTCGTCTTATGTGGAAGAATCTCTTCAGTTTGCTCTCCCGTCAAAAGAATTTCTTCAATTTGTTCAAGGCCTGGCAATACTTCTTTCTCTGAGGGCCACCCCTCTTCCATTGCACCACTTTGATCGTCAATCATATGGTTTGAGTATCCTGAATTAATGATCAAACCATTCTCATAATTGATATAGTCTCCCATCATCGCCATGAGTGCTAGCTCATCTTCTTCTATGGCATATAGTACTTCTGCATCACATTCCTCCTCCATCTCCATGTTGGAGGATGCAACATTGCTTTCGGCAGATTTTTTTCTTGGACCAACA